TCCGCAAGAGCCAGAGTTGCTGTCGCGGTCGATGGTCTCGATTTGGGGCAGCTCCTCGACGGCTGCAGACACAGGGGTCTCAGCGGGAGAGGAAGAGACGTATGCGACGGCAGAAAGGATGGTGGTGAAAGCGTCCATTGCTTGTTTAAGAGGAGGATGTAGACGAGGACGCGAGAGTTTAGAGGAACTTTGGAAAGTCGTGAAACTGCGTCGAAGAGCGGATGGTCTTCTAGCGGAATATGTCAGGCATTTATACCCCCCACGGATATGCCGCCACAACAAGGATATGTCGCCAAGGTGAGAATAAGCTTATTGTGTCCATTCGCGTCCGCGCCGGTAGCGTGTTCAAAGCCGACAAACCCGCAGCTCGGCGGCCTTGAAGACAAAAGACCCGACGGGGAAATTTTGTCGTGGTGGGAAGCCATCATTCAGCATGTCGGTAGGACAATGGCGCGAAGTACGCGCTTGTGCCTGCTTGTGCGCATATGAACAATTACGAAGACAATTAGATGTGGCTGTGCTGCGTGAAGTCACAGAACGCGTGACGTCACGCGCCTTTCTCTTTTCTTTCTTCCCACCACCATCCTCCTAGATCCATATAGCATCAATGTTCGGACGCGGACGCGCCTATAACGACTGGCTTGACCCTCACGGGATGTTCCTACACGATCCCTACGGTTTTGGTGGTGATGATCTTATCGGTCGCTCATCGTTTGCACCGGTCTCCGACCGCGCATATAGGGCATTGGATCAGGCGCGTTATACATCGCACTCCCATTGTCTGTTCACTGATATCTTCTCAAAGGCAAAGGCCGTGTTTCTCAGGCATCTCGCGTCTGTCGACACAAGCGCCGGTCCCGTCAAAGAAGAGATCATCAATTTCCACCTCGTTCCCGACATGAAGAAGGAGTTCAACAAGTATGTCAAGGAGTTTGGATGCACGTATGTTTATCAGCCTTTTTTTCGATGTTGAATGCTGACATGCCTTTGTAGCGCGTCGCAGAGGAAGCTTACGCGCGAGGAACAGGACAAGATCAACAAGACGCGTAAATCGGTACGTCGGCGAGCGTCCCAGTGGTTCTGGATTGTCGATTCTGACGCGTCCCGTAGCTCATGGTCTACAGTTCTGTGACCGTGACGCCTCACGCCCAGCAAGCGTACTTCGCAAAGAATCCCTCCAAGGCGCCCGTGGCGGGTACTTCCAAGAACGCAACGGCGGGCAGCTCCAAAGCCGCTAGCGCTGCGGATTCTGCCCCTGAGCCACTTGGCACAAGCCAGTCACTGAAGCGCACCGCGAATGCCGCTCAATTGGACGACGCGAGTGTGGTCGCCTCAGAGAGCGGAAGCCTCAGCAAGAAGAAGAAGCTTTGAATCTGAGTCCAATTTCGAGTCCCCTTTCATAATTCCCTTGTTCATAATCCTATGATACGCCCCCGCTAGCTATTGTATGTGTCGTATTGTCTATCCTATTTCTTGATAGCTACCCCGCGTTGTCTACTCTATTTCTTGAATGCACTTGTGTGCCCACAACTCAACATTTGTTCCTCGTTGGCGGGTTCAATCCAGTAGCTTGAAGCTTTTTTGGTTCTCAATAAATCATCTGTCGATTTTCGCTGATATTGCACCAGAAAATCGGTTCTGTCCGTCCGACTCCCGGAGGTGTTTCGGCCAGGTGTTGAAAACCACTTTCAAAGTTCAATTTAAGGTGCAACGTGAGTTGAAACAGCGGCCATCACTCGGCAATCTTTCTCTGATCGAACCTTCTGGCAGCTCGCCTTCTCCCCTCACCTACATAATTGCCCGACGTTGTAATTCGCCCCACGGTGCCAAAACCAAACCAAACCCTTCAAAGCTTCAAACCGGGGTCTCGTTAATGCATATCGAGGACCAAACTCTTGTGGCCTTGCCTCCAGAGCTGGAGCGCGTCATATTTGAGCTCGTCGCCTGGAATTTTCCCGAGACCATTACGACCTTGATTCTCGTCGCAAAAAGAGTATGCATATGGTATTATTTTGACCCTTCTCTCTTCGTGAAATGATTGGTGATCATGTTGCTTTTTTTGCGTGTAGGATTGAATCTGAGCTGTACCGAGTTTTGCTCATCACTGGGCCGGGAAGCACAGACCGACTGATGCGGATGATGGACTCCAAACCACCAATATTCCTCCAGAAGCATGTTCAGCATTTGGCACTTTCCAGTGCAATCTCCCGCGCCGATGTAACCCGCGTCCTCTCAACCTGCACAAACATCTGCGACCTCACATTGTGGACAGGGAGCACGTACCCGGAACTGCTTGCTGACCTGCGGAACCTCACAAACCTCCAGCATCTCTCGGTCAATCTCTTCGAACTGTTCCGTGAGAACCGGCAGTTCCAACTTCCCCGCGTTGGGGAGCTTCCATTCGCACACCTCACGCACCTCGACGTCTTCAGCATAATGCCTGAGGAACTATGGCCCTTCTTCGGCATGCTTCCCCGCCTAACGCACCTCTCTTTCTCGGATAACTACCACCCCGAACTGGTGCAAACCGTGCTCGACACCTGTGCGGCGCTGGAGCTCGTGGTCGCTGTCTGGACGCACGATTCTGACACGGATCCGGACGACGTCGTCCACGATGCGTCGGAGATTTCGGATCCGCGCTTTTGTATCATCTCGTGCCGGGGGTACGAAAGCGACTGGGAGGAGGGTGCCTGGGGTGGGATCGACTTTTGGTACCGGGCGGAGGTCGCGCGGCAAAACCGCAACAATAATGGTTTGAGCTTCTTTCTCATTCTTCTTCATCCCATTCATCTTTGTACAGGGTCTGCATCTGGTGAAAGCCAAGTAGTGCCCGTACCAGATCCCCAATGATATGGGACAGGGGATTCGCAGGTTTCCTTATCTTTGTATGTGCCGGAAAACTTGTATCCTCGCCGGACCCACCTACCTGTATCCTCGTTGGACCCTTCTACTTGGATCCGAGGGAAATCTGATCGTTTTTGTGGAAACTTGGAAAGGTTTGACCGTCTCGTTGGATTAACTTTAGCGGTGAGTGATCTCCAGGCCACGAGCGTTGAGGAACAACCTCGAGCTGGCGTGCGGAACATTCTTGCAGCCGGACAATTATATTGTTTGAACAGTCTCTCAGTATTGATTCAATTCACTGCGGCCATCACTCAGCGATCTCACACAGCACATGTTTGTCGTTCTCATTCTGTCGTTCTCCGTCATTTACTACCACCTTATCTCGTTGGCTTCAAACCTCTTCAAGCTATATGGCGGCCGAAACTCTTGCCGGCTTCCCTGCTGAGCGGAGCGTTTCATATTCGAGCAAACAACACGACAATATCCAGAGAGACAATAACAATTTTTGATTCTCGTGGCAAAAAGTGCACCGATGTTATTCTATGTTCGTGAAATGGGATTTACAGCATTACTCTCGACAGGGTTGGCCTGAGCTGACCCGGGTTGTGATCTTCGATTCGATCCCAAGCGGCTGCAGCGGATGCTGGAATCCAAGGTATCTGGTGGCCATAGATCGTATTCCCACCAACATAGTTCGAGGTCACTCGACGTGCACGAATATCTACGACCTCTGCCTGTGGATTGCGATCTCAAACTGCTTTTAATGACCTCGCCGTCGAAGATGACACCCCAATATCGAAAATGATAGACATGGCACTTCCTTCCTGTGCGGTGCTTTCACCTGCGTGTGGATCCTGACACACAAGACTCAAGGTATAACATTTCGGAGGTCTTGGACGCCCGATTCTGCACGGTCTCACCGCGTTCACATTGTCCAAGTCTCCGGAGGGAACGCACTTGCGGGGGACCCGACTTTTGGCCCGTGCGGAGATAGCCCGTGACGCCCGCGATGGACGCCCCCGTAACAGTTCGGGCTCCATTCCAATATTTCAGCTGTAAATTCACCTTTCTATAGGCTCAGTATCTCAGTAAATCTAGGTTGCTCGTAGAGAAGACTCCAAAACTAGATTTTATTGGGTCAGTGCTTTTGTATTATTTGCAGGTTTGAGGAACTTTGTATCACCCACTTCTCATCCCTCTCACGCATCAAAAGCGAATTGTTGGCGTGTGAACCCAAACATCCACCTCGAGGGAGACCTTCCAGGTTCATGTGCATCCGACTCTAGATCGCTCCGCGGATCATCTAATGAATGGGATATGTCCGCACCGACGGCGACGCATTTCTACCACGAGCCGTCTGCATGGTGATCTGTCTCTGGTTCTTGGAGCCCACACACCAACGCTCCATCGTATCATTATCCACAAGTCTAGATGGTCGGCTTGATTGAACTTGCATATATTTTGGTGACCATGATTTTTCCTACTTATCTTCTGCCAACACATTGTGTGTGATTAAAAAGACGGGAGCAGCAAACCAGTGGATGAAACTTCGCACCCGATAACTCGCATAAAATTCATTGATGCGTAACTCCAAGTCACGGATAATCCGGCTTGCTGCATACCTGAGGACGGTAAATAATATTAATACCACGTATTGCAGATATTGAGATATTGATGGTTCGATTGGAAGATCTATGTATAATATCACCACTACTTTGAATAGTGATGATCTGGATTCTGGAAGGCGGGTAGCGGGAGCGATGTAGATTCTTTTGGCCAGGTCTATGAATAGAACGACAGAACTTGCCCAGATGACGATGGGAACGTGCCACTGTAGCATGTACCACAATCATTGCAAGAAAATAGACTAGATGCGACCCAGGTCCAAACCTCCTCCACCCGCGCGTTCTCCGCTCGCCTACTATTGGTTCAACGCGCCAAATTCGCCCGTCCCAAAATGGACACTCAACGCCGCTCACGTGAATCTCAACCCAAATGGGGTGATGCCATCAACTAACCATCAAAGCATTCTTCACGTCTGAATTTTTCAATTTACCGTGAAGTGGACGACCTAAGCCGGTGGTAGACCTTTAGAGACACTTTTTGGAGCAAAAAAAGTGCCCTGCGGCGGTCTACAAGACCATAGAAGCAAAACATGATTCGACCCAGGTTCGAACTGAGGACCGCCTGTGTTCCACGTTACCGCGCTTAATCACGTGACCAGAGACGGGCTTCATGTTAGACAGAAGTGATAACCAACTACACCATCGAACCGATGGGAGGCAGGGAACCGGCAGCGGCAAAGCGCTTCCGAAGCTCTGGTCTGAAGTACTCTGAAAGAATCGTGCACGGCATCCCAAACCACGATTGTTCCTTCAATCGGCTCGATGGCGTATCACTTCTGTTCAAATGGAACATCCATATCATTTACGACCTAGCGCTCGTTGTATGAAAGAATGAACTGGTTTTCGAATTCAACAAATATAACATTCTCAAACGGTAAAATTATTAGACTGTAGTGCACTACTCGCTTCAGTGGAAGACGATACCAGACCCGAGGACGAGAGGCTCGCAGGACTGGGTTTCAGTCCAATCGGACGCATTTTGAATGATGTTCCCGATTGGGTCCAGAGTGGAGGAGTCAATGAGAGTAGTGGGCTTGGACCATCCCTCAGCAAAAGGGAGGCGCTCCTCACGGAAGAAGATCTGGACGAACCTAAATGGCGCAGAATTATTTAAATGCATACAATGAAAACAGAGGATCACATACTCCTTCGATGCGACGCCAGTGAGCGGGTTCCCGAAGATGCTGAGGTACAACGCCGACTCGCGGCTGCGGAGCTTGAACTCCTTCTGGGTGTTCGTGACGTTCGGGTTGGTCGCGACCGAGTGCGCCAAGCGGGCGTGCTGGACGGTGCCCGCGGATACCGGGTCGTAATAGTCCTTGCCCGGATTCGCATTTGCAAGCGTGGAGAACGTGGTCTCGTTGAAGTGGACGTTGTCGCCGGTGCCGTCGGGGCCAAAGTCGTTGCGCGAAATGGAGGCGTCGTGCTCGACGAGGTTGTGGCTGTATGGCCAATTAGCCGAGAGAGACTGAAATAAACGGTGAGACGTACAGCGCAAGTGGCCCGAGGCTCATGGTCTCGAAGGTGGTCGCGTCTGCTCCACTCAGCAACCCAAATTTGGCCGCGACGAGGAGGGCGTCCCAGTTGACATTGAAGCCGGCTGCGCAAATGATTAGTTGAAAACCTGGGCAGATGAATTTTCAAGGTGAACGGACCCAAGGCGGCATCCATGATCTGCGTGACCGTGAAGTTCGCGCCTGTGCGAGGGAGATAGCCGTGGTTGGCGAGGCTATAAGTTTAAAATATCAGATCACGTCGCGAGCGGCGGCAAAGTTTAAACTAACGTGTTCAGTCCTGGACACGGCGAGCGCTGGTCGGTGGAGGTGGGGGCGATGAACTCATGCCCGGCGGGTGCTGGGTACGCGTTCGCTTTCCCGACCAATACAACGGAGGCAATGATGAGGGAAGATATTTTGAGTTGCATGATTGAGAAGTTGAAAGCCGATATTTCCACCTTGAACGAGGACCAGCTTTTATACCTCGGAATAAATTGACTGGATGCCAAGCTTCCGCAGCTAGTGTTCCGGTCGAGCAGACATGTACCACTCCAGATATCCGTCGCGTGCGAAGGGTAGTAATTGGTGCTGACTGATGTGCTGCACAACAGGCTTCAAGGTCGGAATGGGGCAAGAGTTGGCATATTCGAGCCCTCCTATTGGCAGGCAGTCTTCAAGGTCGGAATGGTCGTTGACATATTGGAGCCCTCCTATTGGCAGGCAGTTGCGTACGCAGGATGCAAAAGGTAAGTACAGCCTTTGAAATTTGCTGTTTCAAGCCTTCTCACGTCGTGGAAGTGGTTGACGGTTTAGTACGTAGTCAGCACAAATCTGCATGGATCAGTAATAAGCTATCTTGCGCAAGGATAACACCGGGTTTAATTCTACAATGTTCACGCCAAGTAGTGCAGTAACATCAAATAGCCTGAGTCCTCGGTATCAGCGCCGCGTGCCGCAAAAATCCTAGAGCACTGATCAGTCTCTTCGGGATCTATCGCACACGATTTAACAACTTATATTGCGCATCAGAGCGTCGGTCCGTGGAGCCCGAGGGTCAGGATGTAATCCTGTCTGTTTCACACCTGAGCGAAAAACATCTGAACATTTTGAAGAAAGGGCGGTGCTAATTCTGAGGGTGAATTGTTTCATTGTTGAAATGCATCCGCTCTCAATGAAGCGAAGGAACCGAAATTAGGTAGGTGGGCAAAGGGGCCAAGGCTATTGATACAATATTTATTGGCTTCCGAATCATAAGCGTTCCGAGCAATGTCGGATTTTGTTCCGAAAGGAATCAAGCATTACAAATCTGCAAAGTTGTTATTATCAGTGACCAGCACGGGGACATAGACGTACCACCACCCTTCGCAGAGCGCGGGGTCCAATGGCGTCCGCAACCCAACGGCGCGCCGCAGCGTGCGTACAACTCCCCTCTGTTTCGGCGTGCGTTCTTCGGCGCTCACAGCTGGTGCGACAGGAGGTGCGCCGCGACGAGGGCGGGGCAGGACGTCGTCCGATCCCAGGGAGGTTGCGAACGGCGGGGGGACAGTCGCAGGATACGTCCGCGTCGTCGTCGAGATAGTGGTGGTGACCACAATCGGGGTGTCGACGCTGCTGCCAATGGACGCGAGCGAGGAAAGGGAATTAAGGGAGATACGCTTGGTCGGACGCTTCTCGGCCGTGATGGAGGTGGTGCGAAAGGTGGCCATCGTGATAACGAAGGAACGAGTTTGTGCGGTGATGCGGATGTGAATGTGGATGTGGTAGAGAAAGATCTGTTGGGATATTCGAGGAGAAGTGAGGGGTCTTTTATATATATTTCGATGTTTCGGGACCAGATGAACCAGTTTACATCCGCGGTAAGGGAGACTGAGACAGGCCCGCCTGGGCTTGAATGCGACGCCGGATTTTGAGTGTCTCTCCGGCGTTAGAGTTAGGGAGTGTCTCTTTGATGTGGCAATCCTGATTCACTTCGCGAGGGAGGAGTACACGAGGGATGACTAAGGAATGAACAGGAGTCGACGCGTCAACAACTGCAAACAACGCGTTTTGTTGAAGTCACTGAAGCCGTGACCGTCACGTCGCCTCTTGCTCTCAAACCACCACCACCTCGTCGCCCAGCAAGCGACCGCCCTCAAGATCTGTCAAGGGTTTTCATACTCCCCACCCTCTTCACTCCTCTTCACATAACATGTCTGGCCGTGGTAAAGGTGGCAAGGTACGAAGGCTTTCTTTCTCTTCTTCGTTGCGATTCTGACCTGCTCGCTGGCGCAGGGACTCGGAAAGGGCGGAGCTAAGCGCCACCGCAAGATTCTTCGCGACAACATCCAGGGTGCGTACACTCGTCGTTGATCATTGCTGAACCACTCTTGACGCACCGCACCCGACAGGTATCACCAAGCCGCCATTCGTCGTCTCGCCCGCCGTGGCGGTGTAAAGCGCATCTCGGGCCTCATCTACGAGGAGACGCGTGGCGTACTCAAGATCTTCCTCGAGAATGTTAGGAAACGTCCATGGTCTCTCGCAGCCTGCTTACCTCGAATATCTCTAGGTCATCCGCGACTCTGTGACATACACCGAGCACGCCAAACGGTGAGTAGCCCTTGTTGTGCTTCTGCTTTCATCGTGTATGCTCATCATCATCGTCGTCTTCACCAGCAAAACCGTTACTGCCCTCGATGTCGTCTACGCTCTCAAGCGGTCTGGTCGCACCCTGTACGGTTTCGGTGCATAATTGGGGTCAGTGATGGGCCTGGTTCTTGTTGGCCCTGGACCTTCGCTGACCCCCAAAATTTTCTCGTGCACAGACCATCTCGCCTGCCCCGTTCCATCATGTACTTATGCTGTATTTGTGTATTTGTACACGTCTCCCTCGTATTGTACGCTTCTGGCCCATGTCCACCTATTTCCTATGATGCAGCTATGTATGAGTTCCTCGCGTACGCTGCACGGCGTCGATGATGGTTCTGAGGTACGCATTTCGAGCTCGTCGGGTGGTGGCTGTGCATTTGCGCGCCGTCATCGGTCTGCGCCGTGCACGGACCACAGACCCTTTCGGCAGGTTACGGACATGGTTAGCAGCGGATCTTTTTCTATTGTCGACCTCTTCTGTTCTTCTGTTCGCCCTGAGGTCTCGTGTTCAGGCCACAGGCATCCGGTGCGCGCTCAGTGCAGCGGGGTAGTAGTGGTGCTATTGTCGCTCCGGCGCTCTCCATCTCTCCTGCTCGCCCAACACCCATGCCCAATGAACCTCGTCCGAATATTTCCATTATAAAGTCGTCCTCGTTGAATGTCAACGTCCCGCGCCATGCACGGCCCGTTATTACTTTCAGGACCATAACTAGACCTCCGCTTGTCTGGTCTCGTTTTCGACCAGAAGGGTTGGATTTGAGCGCACGCAAGGGCATCTTTTCTTTTCTTTCTGACTTGCCCTACGTTCACGAGAACTATAAAACAGATTTCGCCGTATTATGTGTATGATAGCACTCTGATCCAATTGCTAGCCTTTTTCTCTTGTATATCATCAGCACGGCGCAGCCCTCAGCGCTCAACCGCCCCCAGGTCCCTGCGTAATCTCGTTGAAATTTGAAAAGTATGTTCCCCAATCATCAGCCCTGAACGAAACAGCATTAGAGGTAGTCGAAATAGGGAACTGTAGGCGGCGCACTGTAGTCCCCTCGGCGCATTCGTCCACATCGCGATCGTCTCCCTGTCGATTATATCCAACATGTCTTCTAGTTCTGGGATTGCTTGAACCGAGGTTGTGTACATGTCCGCGAACGTCTGATCAGGGTTAGGGTCGGGCGGCAGAGCGAATATACTTGTCCCGCATATTCGCTCCACTGGCTCTCCAAGTCCTGCGACAGATGGTTGTCCTTCGAGCGGGCGGGAGTGAGCTCTACGACTCCTCTGCTCGTCAGTCTCAGTTGATTCACGGCCCTTGGGTAAGGACTTCGGAAGCGTCAGTTGGCCAACGGACGCCAATTCTGCTAGGATATCCCTGCGAGACATGAGCGCTGTCATCAAGCATACTTGTATAGATCTGTAAACCCACCACATCAGGCCAGCGGTTTGCCAGCTGCCCAGCCCGAAATGAGATTCTGAAGAGCGCATGGGTAAGTACGCACCGGCCTTCACACAGACGCACGACTTCCAT